TGAAAAAAAAAAAAAACGTTTTACCTTGTGGTGAAAAAGATTTCTTCGAGCTCTCGCCAGAAAAGCGAGCCCCGTTGAGCAAGGCAGGAAAGTCATTGATATTGCTACTTTTCCCAAATAGTGAAGAGCCAACAAATTTTTCGGTTTGGCTATCGTTTTTATTCAGCCTTGGATGATGGTTGCATGGAGAAAATGGTCTATCGAGAAAATTACTCGAGCCGACTTTGAAACCCGAGCCAGAGACTATCCCCTGGTCCATTAAGGACAGCAGTTGCATGGCTGGGATTGTCTCGTTCGTATACGCATCCATGGGCCCCACAGCCATGCGGCCCGGCCCAATTTTCCCCTCTTTGTGCAAAGACTCATCATTAAAAGCTTTTTTACTCTGATAGCTTTGATCATCCAATCCATTAGACTGAACAGGATTGCTCTGGATACCGGTTAGATCGAAAGTCACGTTTTTTCTCCTCGGGGGCCATAATAGATCATTCGCACCCTCCCTCGGTTTCGGGCCGGACATGTGATTCGGGCCTGGATAAAGAGGTACAGAGCTCCAGTGTCTGAATTGGGTCTTGTCCAAACGACAGTTCTTCGTGTTTGGGAAATTTAAGAATCCATGTCCGTGTCCCATATTGCCACCACTTGTGACACTTAAACCGGTTCTTGGGTTGGCATAATAAGGGAAATTGAATGGGCCACGGGTATTTTCAACATAGTGGGCTCGTCTGAAAGAATTATTGATGCTGTCGGGCCCGAGATGTTTTCTTGAATTGTCGAGCGCCTTGTCATGCTGATTCTTCGCCAGGAGCTCAACTATTTCCATAGGGATATCGTCCGAAGAGGGCCCACGTTCGACTAGTGGATTATTATAGTACATGTTATGGGCTGCTTGGTGTTGCTCGAGGAGCCCTGATGAACTTTTGCCTTCTCGAGCCGGAATTTTACTGGATGGCTCAGATAAATCCTGCAAGAGTTAAAAGAAACTCAGATATTAGAAAACATTCATAAGACTTTCCTTTGTTTATCTTCTTTTCCTTTTGAGGATCTTTAGACAAGTAATGAGAAAACCATGAAAGCATCTCTTAAGAGAAATCAGAAAGAAAAAAAACTTCAATAAGATTGACATTGCAAAATCCACTCAATACAGGTTTCAAAACATCGTGATGATCATGGGATTAAACCGGCTATAAAATTGAGCATCAAATGGCCGTCTGAAGAACTTTTCGGTCAGTCAAAGTAGCTAATAACATCGAAAAATGTATTGAATTTTGAATTTTCAACGACAAAGAGTACGTTAATTATAAATGCTACCTGTCAGTACTGAAAGAAAGATATAAATCTATCCGATATTCAGATGCATATATTCGGACTAGTGAAAGTCTTCTAATTCAAATAAAAAAAGACGTTCCACGTATTATTTCAGGACCAAATTTAACTTATCAGGGTTCAAGACATACCATTGACTTCCATGGAAAAACAAACAAAACAAAAATAGCAGGACAATTCAAGCCTCTTTATTTACCAAAAATATTTAAAAAGAAACAAGGCGAGAAAAAGGTAAGGGAAAAGATTTCTACTGCGCATACCAAATTCTCATGTACAGCAAAGCTCCTCAGCTCCGAAAAGTCCGGCACTTGCTGCCCTTCCATCACATTTGTTTTGTCAACAAACGACTCGTTTAAATCCGGAATACCAGTATACTTACCGGAAGATTCTTGTTTTTTCGCGTTCATCTCGGAACTCATATAGCTGTTCAAAGAAAGGTCCAGTGCAACTTTATCCCGGATAGCACAATCTCCCAAGCCGCTCTCACTCAGAGACACATATTCAGGTCTCTTAACCTTTGGCAGATCATTAAAGCCATCAATTCCCTGTCTTGACACAGATTTCTTGCAAAGCGGGCCCGAATAATTTCCAAAATTACCGAAACTAGTCCCCGGATTTGCATAATTTGCTAAAGAAGAATTACTCATCATCTGTACAGCTGTCCTGTTCTCCACATTGGGCCGCCTCGTTTTTCTATTTATTTCAAAAGCTTTTTGCTTTCGAGCCTTGCTTGGCAGAGGCTTTGCTGTGATTCTTACATCCGGCCATGCGGGCCCATCCCTGTCTGAATCTGTTTCTGAAAGTTCAAGTCTCTTGCTTGAATTACTAATGTTCTCTGCCTCCAAAATCGAGCTTTTCAACTTCTTGGCCGTAAAATTTGGCGGGCTTGTCTCCAAAGGTCCTCCTTCATCCTCGAGAACTATGTTCTTTCTTTTCCTCAGGGGCGTTTTTGTATTTTTTGCTGCATCCGAGGAGACTTCCAATAGAGGCTGAGAATTTGAATCATCTTCTGTATGTGAAGATGATAGAGATTTCGTTCGACGATGTTGTTCGATTGGAAAACTCAGTTCCTTGTTTATTATATCAGCCAAAGACCGCAATTTCGGTTTCCGTTTGTAAGGTAATGCGCTATAGGCAATAGCATCGTCACTGCCAGATGATGCTTTTTCGGGCTCATCGGGTTTGGTTGAAGGATTATTCCCATCTGAATTTACTTTATCTGAAGCATCTGAATAAAAAAAAAATAAAAAAAAGGTTAAACCTTTATAAGAAACAAAATTCACAAACATTCTCAAAGAATTTTATGAACTGGGTCGAATTAATCACCTGAAGATTCTTCACGTGTCTCCACTATTTGGGCTGGATTAGCTTCGGTTATATGAGGCCGTGAAGTTCCAACTTCAGTAGTCCTAATATCTGCAGCAATTGATGTGAGATTTTGGTTAAACAATATATAGATTAAAACATAAAAAGTTACATATACATCACTTCATCTTGAGAAAGGCTAACATTCATGAAGAAGAAAAAATACAAGAAAAAATCAAATCCCAATCGCATTATGCAATCACCAGACTTACTTGCCGCAGGATTATATCCATCTGCGCACCGCATATTATAAGGTATTATCTTCTCATCACCTGCATAAATAACCAATAAAATACACGAGAATAAGAAGAAGAAAAAAGAGAATAATAGAATAACATGTGTGATCATGTCACAAACTTCTATATATTATCAGCTCACGTACCTATATTTTGTATGAGCAAACCTTCTTCTTCACCATCCTTTCTAGTCAGACAACGGTTTTCACCAGCAACAACATTACTTGTATTTGCTAATATCATATCAAGTGTGCTTCTCTGATCCACAAGTTCAGGCACACAATTCGGACATTGCCACCACCGGAATTTGGGAACAGATAATGGAGGTAGATCCAAATCACCATCATCATTATTTTGACCTTCTGAAGCAAACGGATAACACGTTTTTCTATTCTTTTTCCTCATTTCAGACACAAACCCACTGCATCCACAAACGATATTATGTTCATACTTTTCGTTGTTTCATAAATATTACCGATTTTGATAAGAGAAAACATATATCGTGATTTTCTAAGTCATCATCAAGGATCAAACGAATAAGATTATATTGTTTTGCAGGCTTTGATGCACCAAATTTGAGAAATTACAATTCAGACATGCTTATTACGTTGTTAGGATATTAGTACTTGAGAATACAATTCAGACATCAAGGAAGTATCTCGGACAATATATGACACATCATAAAAAATCATTAGAGATAATAACGAGAACAATAATTAATCATGGTATATTATCATACGTTGCAATGAAATTTTGCTGCAGATACATCTTTCTCGTCCGACATTATTCAGATTCTCATCACATATTATTAGAAAGATTCCATTTACAATTCCAGTGTTTCCAAGTGTGCAAGAGAGAGTTGAAATGCATAATTTGCTTCAACAGTTTCACCCAAGAAACAAATTCACCCCAAGCTAATCATGAACGAAATAACATAAGTAGCAAAACGATGTAAAAAGTACGAGCCTAGCAAATTACCGTATAGTAAAATGCTCGTGTTTGGGGGGCACAATCTCCTCCACAGCACAATTGATGTCGATTGCAATCGAGTTAATCTGAACGAGCGAAGCCAAAGATTCATTTCTCCTATGGCTTTCTTCCCCAACAACAATTCTCTTGTCCATTTATAATATATATCTGAAACAAACACAATGAAACAATTGGTTATATATAAACAACTGTATGATAAGCTCACATGCGATATAGAAATGATCATAAATGTAAGAGCTCTAGTGAATTTAGAATCACGATTTATTACACGAAACACATAAATGCACACAATAAAAATGATGAAATGCGGCAAATGGTTAGCCGCGGCGCAAGCATTTAGGCTTTGATCACTCGAACCAATTATAGAAACCCTAGTTAAAAAATTAAAGCAACATAAACCAGCATAGAATCATCAAAGATTCCGTTTTTCCGCACGAACGACGATTAAAATCCGTCTAATCGCCGTTAAAAGTAAAGCGAAAACGAGGCACAACAAGTAACAAGAAAGTAAAGCAATTTTAGGGTTTTCTTTAGGGGGGGAAAAAATGTGAAATCTTGAATCTCAGACAAGTACAGTGAAATCAAAGCTACCTCAACGGGGCTCCAAAATTAACCCAAAACCCATGTAATAAATACAATCATACAAACAAAAACAGATAAAATTAATCTCACCCCCACAAAACCCAAAATTAGGGTTTAATGATTTTTTTTTCAGACAACATCAGTAACGTATCTCGAAATCAGTCAAGAGTAGTAAGAGTAGTGAACCCTTCGATGAAATGTTAGAAGAAAAAAAAAAAAAAGGCCCAAATTGAAATCTAAACCAAAAAGGATAGAAAATAAAAGGTCCAATAAAAAAATAAATGAAATAACGAAAAAGACCCACTTTCAGATAAGGAGACAGATAATTAGATAAAAAATTAAAAAAATAAAAATAAAAATTCAGCAGCTCATATTATTCAGCTAAGACATAAGGACAAAGATTAAACGAAAACCAACAACACTAATTTTCAGATCATCACGTGGTAATAAGTGAAAAAAAAAACAAAAAAAACAGTAAAAATTAAGGATTTAAGAAGACGAACCTCTTTCTCTCTCTTCGAATCTCGGCGCAAATCAGATCAAAATCTCCGCCGATTTTGTCTCACCGAACGATAATCCTCATCTCTGCAAGTGATTTTTGGGCGGTTTTTAGAGAGAGAAAGAGAGAGAGAGGGGAAAAAAATGGAGTATTTTTTAGGTCTGAAATTCGCTAGAGAGAGAAAGGGAAAAGAAAAAATGTTTTTAACAGTGAGATAGAGAGAGAAAGTTGAGAGAAGTGAAAATATAGACAAAAGATAGAGAGAGAGGAGAGAGAGAGAGTGAGGAGAGAGAAGGAGTGTGTGTTTGTGTGTGCGTGTAGTGTTTTTTTTTTTTT